AGAAGTTGCACTTCTCTCCTTTGGTCCAAATATTTATATTTGGTATAATATCTGTGGTTTTCATTGAAGGCAACAGCAAAGTTTAAAACAGCATTACCAATATCTTCTACCAAAGAGAAGAGCAAGAGCTGCTAATTTAACTACACGTGGAAAAACTTTATAACATTTGGAATCACATTTAGATATTTCTATTTGGTTGTATTCTTGGAAAAGTGCTCAGCAGGCAGCAAGTCTACTCAGTCCTCTGTCCTCATGGGCTGTCTCAGATAAGTATATGGAAATAGCTTGGGAAGGAATACGTGCTCTGTCTGTGCATGTATTAACTACATGTATTACTACACACCGCTTGCTTCCTAGCTGAGGTTTTAAAATGCTTTGCATTATATCTAGAAGGAATGTATAGACTATCATCTGAAACAAGATAGCTTTTAAAATAAAATTCTATTGATAATTATCTTGGGAAAATAGGCATACTCTGGACTGTTCCAGGCATGTAGGTTATGACTGCCCAATTTATAGCCTCAAATATTTACCCAAATTTTAATATTTTTACACAAAGGAAACACAGAAGTATAAGCCTTTGACATATAGTTGTGGTACTCCTAATAACCACCAATGGGAAATGAAATGAAATTAACTGAATGAAATTAACCTTATTATTTGCAATGACTCATCAACCATAGAAAGCAACTAGTGAAAAAGTTCACTAAAGTCTAGAATGTGGCCATTGAGCACTTGAAATGTGGCCAGTGAGAAACTAAATATTTTATTTTAGTTAAATTAATTTTAATATGAAAGCTTAAGCAGTGTAAAATATTTTTCTGTTAAACCCAACTTTAAATTTTTATAAGATTTTCTGTATTGTTAATCCCAATTCAAGATTATCTTGAAACAAAAGCAATACTTGTCAAATATCCCATAACTGAAAACAAGAAAATGGCAGGATGACATGTTTTTTCATCCATATCATGCTGAATGGAAAAGCTCATTTATTACCTTAATAAACAGCTACCAGACTTTATGTTGAAATGAAAACTTTCCATAATGCAATTCAATAATAATGATTTACACATTATTCTAACATGAATCAATATGCAGATTTTAATTCTAAACAGCAGCATTTATATAAATTGGCTACAAAACTACAAGAAAAATAGTTGATATTAATAAATTTAGAGTTGCTTTGCAACTCAAACTTGAAATTGATATTAATAATTTTAAGTTGACATGAGCTATTTAAATATACTTAACTTGGAAAATAGAGTTTTTAAGTTGATACGTTTTTACTTCAAAGTCTACTCAATTTTTCTAAAAAAGATAAATAATTTTGTCATAATACATGCAAATATAAGAGAAAATGATTTATTGACAGTCAATTCAGTTACTGAAACTTTTAAATATGTTTCAAACAATTTAGGTATGTGAAACTACTGTTGTAGGTGTAAATTTTATGAAATCCAAAAACACTTCAAGTGTGTCTAATACAAATTTAGCTTCAGAATTAAGATCTTTTATACATGTAAAATACACTCTGGGTTTTGAAGGTTTACAAAAAAAGATAATGTAAACCATCTCAACAATAATTTTTCTAATACTTACATGTTGAAATAATAATTTGGATAAAATGGTTTGCTATTTATTAAGTTCATGCAAGATATCATAGAAGTAATCACCACTACTAGATTAAAATATTACCTTGGCCTGTAAACCTTGTACCTAATGGAACAGGTAATCATTATTACTTCACTTTAAGTTACTTGCCATAATTTTCCATCCATGCTGGCTACCTGGTGAGATACTATTCCATGGAGCAAATCACTGGTGCTTTGCTCTGCTGAGCGGCAAACTTTCATAAGGCAAAGATGAAAGTGAGTAAAAAAGTGCAGTTTTGTACCACAGCACTAAAACTGGAGGTTTCCAGAACTTTAAATAATGATTTTTAAAAGCTGTCACCCATTTAGCAAAAGTACTTAAACAAAATATGAAGATATCAAATATCTGTAATATTAAATAGAATTTCCTAAAAGATGACTTGAGAATTATGTTTCTTTAGCTTCTGCCATTAAAATGATTAGTTTGACTCTAGGTACAACACACAACAATGGAAAGTATTATATCATACCTCTCTGCTTTTGTTGATTTTAAGTGTCCAATGTATGTGTCTTCAAAGTAGTCAATCATATATTGTTTCTTTTAGCAAAAGTTGCTAAGTAGAGTCATAGGAAAGCTAAGAAGAAGCATATTATACTAAAAAACAAAATAAATAGAGAGAACATTTAGCTCAAGACAATATTAAATTCAGCTTCCTATTTTTTTCAAGCCTCTTTCCCATACATTAATCCAAATACATTCACATCTTGACAAAAATGAGAAAACCACTACAGAAGTTGTGATAGTTTCCCGCTAGTGTCCATTAAAAAGCAATTAAAATTATTAAGATATGAAACTTCCCTAAACGTCTGAAGTAGATTTATTTTTCTGTCTGGCAGTTATTGTAATAACAGTAGCAAGTAGTGACTATGCAGTCTATAATGACTTAAAGGAGTTCAAATATAGAATCAAGTCTTAAAAGTATTGTTAGGTCTCAAAAGAAGACATTTGCGTGGCCAACGAACATATGAAAAAAAGCTCAACGTCACTGATCATTATCCAACTGAATTACCATATGGCCTATCTTGATTTAAGTATTATCCTCAAAAGTCTTGTATATCTTCTAGCGAACAGACAGTGAACTCTCATAGTCTCTGAGAATTCTAAATTTGATTCTAGTTGCCAGGGAAACTGTATTGAATATGACAAAATTTCTATCCTCTTGGTGCTTAAATTCTAGTAAGAGAAAAACAATAAATAATAAATAAGTGAACAGGTAAAAAAGTGAGATTACTTCTAAAAGGGATTGAGATGAAGAAAATAAAGCATTCATTTTTCCATCATGTAACGGAATGGGGAGTCACTGGGTGGCTATTTCAGGTCAGGTGGTTAGAGAACACCTCTTTTAGGTGACTTTTAAGCTGATTTGAATGAAGTCATTCAAGGAGTCAGCCTTGAAAATATCAGGAATAGGAAAAAAGTCAAGGGAAAAGGTCATGGTGATTAGGAAAAATAAATATTAGACATGGGGACTGTCTCACCTATCTTGCAATCCTAATTTTCTCTAGGTCATCTAGTCATTCTTACCTTTCCAGAAAGCTGTACTACTGCTAAGCAGTCAACCAAGGACCCATTACTCGCTTAACTGTGAAATCAGGTGTAACCCATTCTGGAGGTTGGGGCGTAATGAGAAATTGCAGACCGCTATGGCTACTTCCATTTGACGACCATAGCAATCCAAAATTCTGGATAACTGTTTTTGAAAGAGCGTATGATCATAGGGAGAAAGCAAAAAGACAGTGAAGTATTAATGAGAATTCACAACTACAGGAGATGCAAGTCAAAAAGGATGCTGTATATACAGAGAACAGCGTAAGTAAAGGTTTTCTTCTGCCATAGATAAGTGGAAAATCTGAGGATGTGTTCAAGGAAAAGAAAGAAATTCACTTTAGCCATAGCGCAGAACAAATGAAGGTACAAAAGTAAGTGATAACTGTAGGATGAGAATAATATATTGAATATTTTTTATGCCAAGTTAATGCAGTGGAACTTAATTCTGTATGAAACTGAGAGCTACAGGAAGTTTTTGAGGATGGTAATGACTTTTCTAGAAGCTGGGTGCAGAACTGGGAAGTAGGAAGACTAGTTAGAAAGCTACAGTAATAATTCAAGTAAGAACTGATGGCTTGAACTGGTCTGATGGTAGTGGGTTATCAGAATTTATTAACATTAGTGTCACTAAAGTTGGTATACAACCCTCCACTGCTAAATTTGACTGGCTTAAAAAAAAAAAAGAAAAAACCTGATGGCTTGAACTGAAGTAGTGAATTCATTTTTTGGCAATTACTCTTTGAAATGTTAAATGTTCACAGTGGGCAGAGTGCAGTGAAGAAGTTGTTCTGACTTGACTATATTCTGTTCACTGTTTTCCACCATTGCTGGTGGAAATGGAATTTGAGTAACTTTTCTGTTGTACAATCTGATGTGACTGGATGATTCGAGAGACAATAGAGAAATGGTCAAAAAGACCTGAGGACTGATAGGTATCAAGGATGAGAAAAAAGAAACTATTGAAGATAATTATGAAGTTTCAAGTCTTGTTGTCCATGATGATCAAATTATTAATAGAAATGAGGAAGCTGGAAAGGATGGAAAAGAGCAGGAGAGCAGACTCAGAAGACCATGAAGGCCTGCCCTTGCTTCACCATTGAGATGATAGGTAACCTTGGGCAAACTCACTTGAACTTATTGTTTGTATTAACATGTATAAAATGGTGCAGAGGGCAGTTGAAATAGATTACTGCAAATGTCCTTTCCAGATTGACGATTTTGAGATTTTAGGGCTATGGCTGTGATCACACTAAGCTTTTAATTTCAGAGAAATCTGAACTTTTAATTTCCGAAAAATTATAAACTTGAATGTGTAACTGTACACTATTTTTGCAAGATAAATGTTGCTTTAAACTGCATATTTTTAAGGCTTTTGACACAGTAACAGACTGTATTATGAAAAATTTGTCTGGAATACTTCCATCAGTAATATACCATTGTGTATTTTGCTGTATCCCTGAAAATACATTTTTACATTATCAAAAGTAATTCCTAACCTGGGGGACATAGCAAAACCTTATCTCTACATAAAGTACACACACACACACACACACACACACAATTAGCCAGGCGTGGTGGTGGGCACCTGTAGTCCCAGCTACTCAGGTGGCTGAGGCAGGAGAATCGCTTGAGCCTAAGAGGTCAAGGCTGCAGTGAGCCCTGATCATGCCACTGCACTCTTGCCTGGATGACACAAGACGCTGTCTCAAGAAAGAAAAAACAAAAAAACCCAACAAATGAAAAATAGTACCACATTTTAATTTGTATTTGAATATAAAAAATTAAACACATGCTTATTGGACTTATGTATTTCTTTTTATTCAAGAACTCTATCCAATATATACACGTTTTCCTTTTGGCTTTTGTCATTTGTGTATTTAAGACTTTGAACAATGTTTTTAAATAATATTAACTTCAACACCTTTCAGAAATTTACTATTCGTATTTTATTTTGTGTATTTTGTAACACACAAGTTGTAAATGATTATGTATTGTTTTTCTGTTCAGTTCCATCTTTCATTTTTATGCTTAACAATGTCTTCTTAGTCATATATGCCCGCCTACATTTTCTTCTAGTTCTTTCATTAGATATATCTAGTATTAATTCATCACCCATTTGATGCATGGTATTTTTTTTTTTCATCATGGGGACATGAAGTAAATATTCTGATTTTTAAATGTTTCCATTATAATTGGCTACCACTGTCAATTTTCTTATTGATTCTGATACTTGTTCAGTTTCTTAGTTTTCCAGGTAATCATTTATCTGCAAGTCGGTGTAACTTAATTATTTATTTTTTAATAGCTCAGTATTCTCATTGCCTTTTGTTGTTTCATTGAGAACTTCCAGTACAATGTTAGGAGGGGGAAAAAAACAATGGGAATGGCACCAATCCTTCTCTTGTTCATCTTTATATTCCTTAGAACATACGGAATGCGTTCTGACATAGAACTTATTGAAGAGTAATTTGGAATTTTCTGATGAATCAACCGTTGTCTTTAATCTTCACAAGTTTGAAAGGTATACGTCATTGTTCCCATTTCCCAGATGGAGAAATTGAGGTTCAGGAAGGTTACACAAAGTCCCGGGTCTAAGAAAAATGTCTCCCAGATTCCAAAAGATGTGTTTATTTTGCTAATAGTGGCCATTCAAGCATTAGGGGACAGGTTGCCCGTGGTATCGCTGGTGTTTCTTCTTCCCACTTTCAAATCTAGAATAGTAAAATAACAAAAATCCCAACGGGCATGAGAGTTATCATAGTAGATAGGGTAGGTTGGTTCTCTGCTGTGGTCAACGTCAGCTCTGTGGCGACGCGGGTTCTCCCAACAATAGTCCACACCATTTCCAGGCTTTTCTCGGCGACGGGCAGCCCGGAGTGCGGAACTTCTCTGGGTGCGCCCGGCCCCCAAAGCGAGGAGACAAGACAGCCCGGATTCTCCGCAGCCCCAGGTTTACTCGTCAAGGACCGAGGGGCCTCTCAGCTCCGACCGCCTCCTCTCCGCCCCCTGCAGGCCGGCCGGAGGGACAGCTCAGGGCCCAGGTCGGCGAAGGGAGCACGGAACCAAAGAGCGCTAGCGCCGGTCCGGCCATCTTTCCACAAAGCCCGGGCCGGTCCGCCCCGCCGCGGAGACTCAGCACGGATCGCGGCTCCCTACCGCCATGGCGCGGGTGCTGATCGTGGGCGCCGGGGTGACAGGCAGCTTGTGCGCTGCGCTGCTGAAGAGGCAGACGTCCCGTCCCTTGTACCTTGCTGTGTGGGACAAGGCTGAGGACTCAGGTGAGTTGTCTAAACGCCGAAACCTGGGAAAAGAGGCCAGCCGGCCGGGCTGCGGAGGTGGTGTGGGCCTGCATCCGAGAAAGTCTAAGGCGACAACGCTGGATCCTCAGCTCCGTGAGAGGCTGTGTAGCCCGGCCCATGCGCTCAGCTGCGCGCTTCGTCACGTGATCGGGGACTTCCGCCGCCCGGGAAAAGGCCCAAGAAGGGGCGAGGGTGGGGGCGGGGCAGGAGTACTCCGAGCTCTACAGAGGGAGACCTGAGAGACCGGCGTGGGAGGGGCCCGGACCCGAGTTTGCAAAGCTTGGGCCTACTGCTGTCCCTAATAAATATATTTTTGCCTTGGTCTGTCTGTTGGCTTTGCAGCTTTCTGCAGATTATGAGACTCCCAAAGTGATCACAGACCAAGACTTTCTGAAGATCTAGTTTGCAGAATCCTGTCATTCTGATGAAGATTGACTGCATGAATGAAAGCGCATTAGCTGACTCATTTATTCTGACATTTCATTCATCATTTTTAGTTTTATCCATTCGCTGACTCCTATTACTAAATATGTGCGCTATAATGGTGCTGGAGACTGTTACATTGTTCATGACTCCTTTTCTTCTAAAATCTCACAATCTAACTCTTCAAGTTAAAAGAGTTTCTTAAGATATTTTTGAAGTAATCTGTTTGGGGTAACCTCAGGTGCATTGAATTAATTGCTAAGGCTCATTCTAATGCAGTAAGACATTTTCCTGTGGATTAATTCAAGGTGGAAGAATGACTACAGCCAGCAGTCCTCATAATCCTCGGTGCACAGCTGACTTGGGTGCTCAGTACATCACCTGCACTCCTCATTATGCCAAAAAGCACCAACGGTGAGTTAGTTGCGAGAAGTGGAATCAATCTTAGCACTTGTATGATGTCATAGGGTTATTGTGAAGGTTAGATTAGCTGATAAATGGAACATAGTAAGGGCTCAATAAATAGCAATTACTATGTTGGTGTTATGGAAGAAGGCAACTAGCTGTGATGGGGGTCAATCTTCTGAACCAAATTTAAAATTGATATACTAAATACATTTGTTTACTTACAGAGAAATAGGCCTTTGACTAATGTCAGCAAAAGACCTATGGATTCTCAAAACATTTCTCTTCTTCACCTGTATTACAAGTTTTAACACAAAATATACATTTTATTTAATACAAAATATTCATAGGAAGATATCTATGATTTTGAATTATAACCTTTGAGAATTATTGAAAGAAAATATAGTCTTTTAGAGGTATTCATGGTATATAATTACATTAAATATACATATTGATTTATTTCAGTTTTTATGATGAACTGTTAGCCCATGGCATTTTGAGGCCTTTAACCTCGCCTATTGAAGGAATGGTGATGAAAGAAGGAGACTGCAACTTTGTGGCACCTCAAGGAATTTCTTCAATTATTAAGCATTACTTGAAAGAATCAGGTAGGAGTAAGATTTTCTCTGCCTAAATTTTAAAATTAGCATTTAAAAATAAGTTACACACATAGTTACATATTAATACTACACAGGAAGTTATAAAAATTAGGTGCTCTATTTGCTGATCAATAGCTAGTCCTTCCCCAAAGTAATCATTGATAAGTTTCCATTGTATATTTCCAGAACAATGTTTATGCATCTCTCTATTGAGCTACATGGCTGTCTCTATTTATCTATAATATAGATATTATAGATGTGTGTATATATACACATATATATTTCTTTATATTCTTTTAAAAATATACTCAAAGGGGATAATTTTACATAAATGATTCTATACCTTGTTTGACTCATATCTTGGATCTATTTTCATATCAGCAAATTTAGTGTAATCCATTTTCTTTAATGATTGTCTAGTATTTATGACATATGTGTATCATCATTTATTTAACTATTAGCTTTCTGGTAAATATTTAGGCTGTATGGGGTTGGAAGATTGTTTTGGTTTTTGCTAATACAAACATTGCTGCATGTCTACTGTTGACATGCTTTTGGAAGCATACCTTTATTTAGGATCAGTTCCTCACAGAAGAATAGCTATGCCAAACGATATGTGCATTTTTAACTTAGCTAGGTTGTGCTGTGTATTCATCTTAGAGAACATCTCACCAATAGTGATGAGAATGTTTCTTTCCCCACATCTGGATATAATGGAAATTTTTAATTTTTGCCAGTGTAATAGGTTAAAAATTGGATCTCTTTGTGGTTTTATTTTGCATTTCTTTAATTACAAGTGAGTTTATGCATTTTTTTGTTTTGTTAGCCAGCTCTTTGCAGTTTTCTTCTGTGAATATCTTATTCATAACCTTTGCCCATTTTCTATTAGGATTTTCATTTGTTCCTTATATGTTTTATGAGTGTTTTGAAAATGGACCTTTTAAAAAAGAAAATAGAATTTTTCTTAGATAATTGATGATTTTTTTTTAAAACAGAATGAAGCTTCTTGATGAATCATAATTTAGTTAAGTACCCGAGTCAAGATAACTGAGAAAGGATGTAGGCTAAGAATTTTTTTATAAGCCATTTCCAGCATAATTACTGTTTTGGTCTTTATCATCAAATATTACTTATTGAGAACCTCAAGAATCCTTGATACTGGGCATCAGAGAGGTTAGTGAGATTGAATAAACAACATGAGAACATAATAAATACCATTCTGGCTTAAACTATTTCTCCATTTGAGATTCAGTATATGATGATTTATTAGACTACTCCAGAGAAACAGAACCAATAGGGTATATATGTATATGTGTGTGTGCATGCGTGTGTGTATGTGTGTATGGATAAAGATAGAGATTTATTATAAGGAATTGGCTCACATAATTAAGGAGGCTGGCAAGGCCCAAGATTTGCAGGATGATTCAGCAAGGTAGACACCCAGGAAAGCTAGTGGTATAGTTCTAGTCCAAGGGCTGGCAGGCTCAAGACTCAGGAAGAGCCAGTGTTTCAGTTCTACTCTGAAGGCTGGAAAAAAGCTGATGAGCCAGTTCAAAGGCTTTCAGGCAGGAAGAATTCTCCTTTATGTGAAAGAGGATCAATGCATTTGTCCTATTTAGGCCTTCAACTGATTGAATGAGGCCCACCCACATTAGGGAGGGCAATCTGCATTATTTGATCTACTGATAATAAATGTGAATCTCGTCTAAAAACATGCTCATAGAAACACCCAGAATAATGTTTGACCAAATATGTAGGCACCCTATGGCCAAGTCAAGTTGACACATAAAATTGACCATCACAGATGGTGACACTATTGAACGTTTTATAGAATGTTACTATCAGCTTTATATAGTGTGGCCATATCACTTTAAAAAATCTCGTTTCCACCATGATTTTCCCTTGACCCAGGTTGGGTGAGTATACTTATTGAAATCATCAGGTACTTATTATCCGATATTCATGCATGCATGTGCAGGAGTTTAGAAAATGATATCCCAAAATGAAGCCCTCAGAAGTTGTTCTCTTTGACCTTCTCCTGCCCTCCTTTCTCTGGCCTTGCATTCATCCCTGAGGCTAGCCCTAGAAAATAGAATCTCTTTTCCCAAGGCAGGTCATAGAAATAAGAACTCCCTTTCCCCGCAAACCAGCCATAAAGCCTAAGACTATCACTGTAGCTTTCCCGTGCCTTCCTTTGTAAAAACTGGTCATAAAGAAATTATCTGACCTACCATGTTTGATTGTAGCTCATAACAGTTCCAGAGAGGGTCATGACCCATAACCGTAAAGAAAGAATGCTGCATAGAGAGGTCAAGAAGAATCTAGACAGACAAACCTTGATGGGTTTCACCAGTTTATTAGCCATAGATATAACCCTTTGTCCAATCATACTGCTGCACAGCTGTCCATACTTTGTTGAATCTCAGCAAAAAAAGTTGACTCCTGTATCTTTGGGTCTTCAGTCTGAAGGTTTCAGTGTGCCAAGACCAGCTCGGTTGGGGAGACCCTAACAAGCAGCGCTAGAGGAATTAAAGACACACACACAGAAATATGGAGGTGTGAAGTGGGAAATCAGGAGTCTCCCAGCCTTCAGAGCTGAGAGCCCTAAACAGAGATTTACTCACATGTTTATTAACAGCAAACCAGTCATTAGCATTGTTTCTATAGGTATTAAAATAGCTAAAAGTATATCCCTTATGGGAAACGGAGGGATGGGCCGAATTAAAGGAATAGGTTGGGCTAGTTAACTGCAGCAGGAACATGCCCTTAAGGCATAAATCACTCATGCTATTGTTTGTGGCTTAAGAATGCCCTAGAACTTAAAGTATAATAAAATAAATAAATGAATAAAACCTCACCAAAAAAAAAAAAAAAGAAAAGAAAGGAATACCTTTAAGCAGTTTTCTGCCCTGGACGGGCCAGGTGTTCCTTGCCCTCATTCTCGTAAACCCACAACCTTCCAGCTTGGGCATTAGGGCCATTATGAACATGTTACAGTGCTGCAGAGATTTTGTTTATGGCCAGTTTTGGGGCCAGTTTCTGGCCAGATTTTGGGGGGCTTGCTCCCACCACAGTGTCATGAAAAACTATGATTAAATAAATTTGTATGCTTTTTCTCATATTAATATGCCTTTTTTCGGTTGATTTTTATTGAACTTTCACCCCTACACCTGCATGCATGCATACATACATACATACATATATCCTTTTCTTCAATAAACATTTATTGAATACTTACTATAATGCCAAACATTGTTCTAGGTACTAATGATGCAAGAACCAATGTCCTTGCCTTCATGGAGTTGATGTCCTGGCAGAGAAACATCCTTAAATACATTGCGTCTGTCTCCTTATTTTTTTAGGTGTTTGGGAGAATACATATGTTTTAACTTCCAATTTTGCTTTTTAAGCTTTTGAGGAAGAGATTATTTTTAATTCCTTGTAGCTCACTCAGAGCCTAATAGTACCTTGTACCTAGTAGGTAGAGTGATATAAATGTTAAAAATTTATTTTACATTGAGTTCATGGTCTATTTAACTTGAGTTTATATAAATTTTTCTTTCGTTTTTTAATGTTATTTTTGTAATACTTCAAGATTCTTTTTCTCCTCTACCCCAATCTATTATTATAGGATTTGTTGGACTACCTATAATATTTTTAATTTTATAATTATATCACTTTTAAACATTCTTTAAGTCCATTTAAAGCTTTCTATTCTATAAATGGTCCACAAAAACATTTGGTTTGTCCACACAGTAAGCTAAGACAGTCCCTGATATCAGAATGACCTGGATTCCAGTTAATGTCCTACCATCACTTTCTGTCCATGTAATATTAGGAGAGTTTAAAATCTGTACCTCAGTTCTTTCACTGAAAAAAATGAGGGTAATGAAATGAAAAAAATAGGGTACTTACTACAGAATGTTGTAATGGAAGTTCTTACTACAAAGAGTTGTGAGGAATTAATGATATAATGCACTCAAATTCAAGCAAATAGTAAGACAGTCACATAGTAATCTCTTGATAAATGTTAGTTTAAAAAATATTCTACTTGAATGAAGCTGACCTTCACATATTCCTCACTTTGAGACATCAAATTGCCAACTATTTTCAAAAATACTCTATATTTTGGAATCTAGTTGAGTTTAAAACCCCACAATCTGATGGACCAACTAGTGGTCATTCAGATTGGGACCAGACTCTCGGGGAAATTATTTGTCTGGGATATGCCTAATCAGGCATGCTTTAGAATAGGTTCAAACCTTTAAAGCCAATATTTAACTAGACCAATTTCCCAGAACAAACAGTAAAGGGTAAGGGAAATAGATACTTTATTCTTGACCTTATGTTCTATTTTAATTTGTTGTCTCATGTGTTCACATTAACCTCATTGCAGATAAAACTGTATTTATTGGCATGAGTTTCACTGACTGCCTGCCTTCTCCATTAATACAATCTTCTTGAGTGAGTGAAACATGATTTTCTTTTTTTTTTTTTTTATAATAGTTGTCATTATGCTGGGGTGAGAAATGACAATAGCAAAAGTGATTCTAGCTATCAGTTATTAAGTGCTAACTATTTATCTGACACTACCTTAGGTACTTGACATATGTAATTTCTAATTCTCACAGTAAATTTTCAAGGGAGTTAATCATCATCCCTATTTATTAATGCAGAGAATAAGACTCAGGTACTTTGTCTAAGGTGGCTTGGCTAGTTGGTAACAGAACCGGAGCGCCCTTGCAATTAATCATGTTGTTTTTCTCTATTAGGTCTCTCATGGAGGGCAATGAGAGGTGCTCATACTCTCCAATTTAACATCTATTTTGTAGAGCTTTCTCTTTCCTTACTGATTATTTTCCTACAGTAGAAAGATTGCACCCATTGCACCTGGTGCTACGTGTCAGTAGACACATGGTTCAATAGAACAACCTCATAGTTCCCTGTGCCCCTAGTTTCCTTCTTTCATCAGTTAATTCCTGACATAGGGGGAAGTGGATATTAAAAAGTAATACCACCTTAGTTCTTTGTGCAACCTGGAAAATTGGTCACCTGATGGTTCCTGCATATGACATTTGGAAAATGATGGACCAGGTCCTTTTGCTTTTGAATAAGGTCCCATGTTATTAAGTTATTCATAAAAAGATGAATTTAGCCTCCAGGACACAGAGTGAGAAGCTTTTATTTAGCTTTTCCTACCAACAGGGAGGACTGTTGCTGCATTTATTTGTTTTTATTTTATCATCTACCTAAAAAGGACATTGGCTAGCGATCTGGAAAGTCAACATGTGCAATGTAACCTGTCAAAGTAGACAGGATCAATTTATTAGAAAAAATGGTTTAGGTGGCAGATACCATTAGCTAGGATGGCTTCTGTATGGTAATATTTACTTTTATTATTCTCTCTCTTTTTATTTTTGTGCCTATTGTCTTTCTAAAATTGATAGAAGGGAAGTGAGTCTGGGTGGTTCTGTCTCAGAATTTCTCCCAGCGGGTGATCTTGGCACTCATCCGTAACGATGTCCTTTTTAGAGAAGCTAGAGGATGGCATGAAAACCAGGTTAAGCATTCTTCTATTTACTTCAAGCTGTATAGTCAGGTAGACATGGTTCACATCACTTCGGGTCCCATCTGAGCAGTTCTGACTGCTGCTCACTAAAACTTATTTGTGGGAAATCATAGGAGAAACACAAACTTGGATTTTCTCCTTAAAACGGAGGAGGGCCAGGGATAAAATTGAATAAATATATAACAGAAACACATTTGCCTTTGTAAAATGTTTAAACCTTCTTAGACTTCTGATGTCTTTATAGCTATCTGAAGATCATTTTATTCTAATTAAATATTATGTGCTGAGGAAACAAGAGTCAATAAGAGACATGATCCTGGCCTCTGTTAATGTAGAGTATAGTGGGAAGAAAATACATTAAACTAATTATACAAAGAAAAGATGCATGATAAATGTTAAGAAGAAAGAGAGCATTATGAGAGAGCTTACAATAAAAGGACCTAGCCCAGTAGGTTATAGAGGAGTGATGGGGGAGATGTGTTAGGGAAAGCATCCCTGAAGAACTGATATTTTCACGGGTACCTGAAAGGTGAGCAAGAGGGAATTAGGCTGAGAGCTGAATGACGAGAGTTCCATGCAGTGGGCACATCAAATTGGAACTGTTCTGAAGTAGTAGGAGGAGGTTAGTGCATTCAAGAATAAAAGGTCATTGTGACTGGAAGGTAGTGAGTGAGGGAGAAAGTGGTAAAAGATGATGCTGAAGACTAAGGCAGGGCCAGATTATACGGGGTTCTGTAAGCATTGTTAAAGATTTTATACTCTAAGTGCAATGGGAAGCCATTGAAGGGTTTTGTGCAAGGGAGGGACATGGTCAAATTTACTAAGCTCAGAAGTAACTCTTGAGACAATTTATCTATTTTAAAATTGAGTTTTCCAGAACTTATAGATTTAAACACATCGTCTTTATGAAAGTTATTAATTACTTTCACAAGGAAATGCCACTTTCCCAAAAATTTTGCTCTGAGCAGTTGGAAAGGAAACGTTTCTGGTTAATAAGAGAGGCTATACTATTTCCTCTACCTCTTGATAAATGCTACTTTTTGGGCGGTTTTGCCAGTGGTGTTTGATTTGGGCCTGTCCACCTACCCCAGTGGTTCTCATACTTTAGTGCGCATGATGACAAGACTAAGGGAACTTGTTAAATACAGATTGCTAGGCTTAATTCCTAGAGTTTCTTATTCTGTATGGTTGGGTTGGGGCCCAGGAATGTGCATTTTCTAGTACATAGGTGCTGCTGGTCTGGGGTCCGTACTTAGAGAACCACTGACATACACAGACACACACACACACACACATATATATATATACCTATACCTTGCAGAACACCTTGTGGCCATTGGGATACATTTTCAAGGCATTCATCTGGGGCATGAAGAATTTTCTAGGACTGTGAACTTAAGTCCCCTTAAACACACACTCATGCCAGCAACAACAACAGCATATTGTTCTTTTCAAAGGAATATTATGAGAAAACATAGAATCAGTTGACTTAGCTGAGGTCTGGGACAGGGCCACGAACTAAGTGAGGCAAGTAGGGTGAGACATCCTAAATAAATAAAAAGAGAGTGAAGCAGAGCTACCCTTGTTGGAATAAAGGAGATGGTGGATATGTGTTGAAAGTGCAGATTATTTGCACCTTCCCCAAGCAGGGGCCTTAGAAAAGCCCTCAGGCAAGATGGAGTACTGTTTACAAGCCCCTTGCTCTAATCTTTGAACAGAATGATGCACACTGCCTTGAACAGAGACTGATCCCTTGGGCTAGCTAGAACTATGTTTCTTCTAACATTTACATTTGATTTTTTAAAAATTGGAGTGCTTACTAGGGTGTAGCATTATTTAAGGGTCAATGAAAGAGATAAAGGTGTATGAGATCTGAAGATGTGACATGAAGGAGCCTTGAGTATTATTACATAGATAAGATACAACTAAAGCATGCAGATATTTTGAATCAATGTCAAAATGAGTAGTAAAGCAGTGATGGTTGAAGAATATCATAGAGAGGAAGGATCACACTGAGCTGGAGTGGCTATGGAAAGGAAGCTTTGGGATGAACTTTAGCTGGATTTTTAGTGACTGGGAACATGAGATTACCCAGGTAAAGATGATGAATAGAATCTTTCAGTGTGCTTTTTTCCTCCCTCATTACATCTTCATTTCTTTCTTTTTCTATACACAAAGCTGAATAAAAGTAGATTTACTTGTAAATCAAATTTTTTTGAAAACTGGAAGTTACTAGTTTACTAAGAAGACTTAATGACCTAATTGTACTTTCTTTCAATTTATGGTTCATAATTCATTCTTTTTATTTTAATTTTTTTGAGACAGAGTCTTGTTGTGTTGCCTAGGCTGGAGGGTAGTGATGCAATTTCAGCTCACTGCAACCTCTGCCTCCCGAGTTCAAGTGATTCTCGTGTCTCAGCCTCTTGAGTAGCTGGGATTAGAGGCATGCACTACCACACCCAGCTAGTTTTTGTATTTTTAGTAGAGACAGGATTTCACCATGTTAGTCAGGCTGGTCTCGAACTCCTGACCTCAAGTGATCCACCCACCTCAGCCTCCCAAAGTGCTGGGATTATAGGTGTGAGCCACTGTGCCTGGCCTCATAATTCATTATTTTAAATAAATACATACCTAATAAATTCTACGCTATGTATACTATATGCTATACATAGAAGCAAAACAGGTGTAATTTGTAGCTCATGGGGTTTACAGATTAAAAGGGGAGACAATATTAAAGAAATAATTGTTAAAATATACTTGTGTTAAGTGCTAACAAGGAAAAAGTTATGGGAGGGTACTCTAGAGTATGTTTCTAAATTCTGATTCTTCTTAATGAAGACAATTGATCTATTGATGAGAACTGGCATTTCCCTTACAGAGAACTTTTTTCAGGTCCTTTAATAGGAAATATTAATTCCTTTAATAGGGAATATTGCTCTTCTTGTTTCATTGCTAACACACATGTTTACTGAAATGTATACTTGTTCTGCAAAAATGATGAGCTGTAGAGTCAGATGGGTATAGTTTTAAATCATGGCATGCTATTTCTCAATCTATTTCTTTGTCTGTGAGATGAATTAGTATAATGTGTACCAAGCAGCTGGCATATAGTAGCTGCTTAATGAGAAGTAGCTATAGTTATTGTTTTTATTTTTATCATTAATTGTAGGAGCAGTTTTTGATTCAGAGCAGGCACTGATGGGAGGTCCAAGGATGCCAGGTAGGGATGAATTCCCACTAAATTAGAAAGATAGTAAAGGAAGAGAGTTTGAGTACTATGGAAGACAGTCTTGGCCATTTTGTTCACTTGAATGGATTCAGTTTGTGACTACTCATATCCCCCTCATTCATATATGAAATTCTGATAATGGGGACATGATTTTGCTTTTGGAACAGGTGCAGAAGTATACTTCCGACATCGTGTGACACAGATCAATCTAAGAAATGACAAATGGGAAGTATCCAAACAAACAGGCCCCCCCGAGCAGTTTGATCTTATTGTTCTCACAATGCCAGTTCCTCAGATTCTGCAGCTTCAAGGTGACATCACCAACTGTGAGTCTGTGTTTGCCATTTACCTGCCTCCGGGAATGGGATTTCTTTGATAAAGCATGAATTTGGTTTAACTCTCTTAGCAAAGGACAAGTGATAGACTCTCTCTGTCTTTAACACTGATACTTATGGCCCTCTTTGTGATATTAGTGTAGGCCAAAATGAAACCCATAGGATTTTTTTTAACTGGTTAAAAGTTGAACACTCTTCTTATTGCCCATGTCTTCAACAAGTCAGTATTATTGATGGATATGCAATGATTTCGCCTAAAGAGAGAGCAGTGTTTATGGCCATTTTTAAGAAACGGTTTTTATGTACAAGTGCTTGCTTGGATCGCCTCATTTCCTATGTTCTTGTTCTCTGGGTTGCTCTCTAATTGTATTTACTTCTGTTTGAGGCAGTTGCCTAGCCCTTTTGTGAATGAGAGGCATGAGAAGGAATGGGTGAGAGGGGATGAGTAATTTATGCTGAAGAAGCTAAAATTATGCCAGAAGAGCCAAATTTTAATAAAGCAACTAAAATTCAAAGAAAATTTTTATCCTTGCTAAGTCTTTGGATACTGCAATTGGTTTAGCATTATTCACTTTATCTTAGATAGTAACCTTTGTTTAATTTCTTTTTGATATAAAATGTGGTGGTGAAAGTATGTGCAGAGGGTCTGATTTCCTATCTTTCCCCAAAGTAGACGCTAACCTACAACTACCAATTTAGAAATGTCATTTACCTGCTTATATCTTTCCTAGTTGACAGCAGCTATTTACTCTCAGAAGTGGGAATGGGGAGGTGGTATAGCTAAGGTTTTCTTAGGTAGATACCTAAGATTTTCTTCATGATTCCTGAGGGTTCCTGGTGCACTGCCACCAGAAACATGTTTCCAAAAGATCTTAGGAAAAACTTCACTGGTCCGTATTACTTCTTCACCTTCTCTGTAAAATTCTCATTAATAGAATCCCATAATAGACTTTTTTCTTATTCTTTTCATATTCTCTTTTCATTAAATGTGGATTTGTATGAAGAAGGAAAGAAAAACTCTATATTGACAGGGGCCTTATGTTTTAATGCTTTTTATGTAAATCTGAATTTGGCTTGCTAATATGTTGTTTAGGATTTTTGCATTCATGTCCATGAGAATGATTGAGCTGTAGTATTTTTTCTTGTATTAATTTCTCCAGTTGTTCGACATGGAGGTATGTAGGTCTCATATAATTATTTGGGCAATGTTTCCTGTTTCTGTTTGGGGGAAGCATTTTTATACAAGTTTGGTGTTATTTCTTTCCTAAATGTTTAGAAGAATTCACTAGTAACACCATTTAGGCCTAGAGTTTTCTTTGTGGTAAAATTTTAAATTAGATTCCATTTCTTAAAGGAATCTATTCAGATTTCTTTGTTTATTCTGTTTTCTCTCAAGGTGCTAGAATACCATGATATAATCTTTTTTAAATTTTTTTTAGCTTTTATTTTAGGTTTGGGGGTACATGTGAAGGTTTGTTACATAGGTGAACATGTGTCAGTCTTGTTCATACGGCTCGCCACTTATCCCAACGCCACTTATGAAATAGGGAGTCTTTTCCCCATTGCTTGTTTTTGCAGTAGACCTTATTTTTTAAAATACTAGTTGTTTATGCTTAAGTTCAGATCTGAAAATTGTATTTACATATTCCTTTGACTTTCATTAATTTAATTCGTTCTATATGTTCATTTTAATTCATTTACTTTTTATCAATTTACTTATTTTCAAATAGTATGTTGCTCTATATAAAGTTCTATTTACCAGGTAAGAAGGGTGTCCTGAATCAGGCCAGGAGTATGAATTGACATCCTTTTTGGTACTCCAGCTGCTCTCTCTCTCCTTCATCCATTGTGTCTGGGAAGTCCAATCTAATATCTATATGCCCTAGAATTGAAATTTAAATCTTTGAGAGAACTTCAGATTTCTCATAACTTCGCTGTTACAAAAAAAAAAAAAAAAAAAAAAAAAAAAGTGATATCTTGGTTTTTAAATTGGAATACTTTCCTGTTAAAACCTTAAATATCTAAAACATCTGTTTCAGTTCCTTTTCAGGTCTCTGAACAATATAACTAAAAGCTGGGTTTTGCTTTCCTTAACAAAGGTTAAAACAAACGTTTCTTAGAAAAATTGCTTGGTAATAGCTATTCCCAGGCCTGACAAAAAGAACTAGAAGGGTACACCATATTATGTTCACATCAAGGGTCTGGGTGCAGAATGTTCACCCTGTCTCTGGTGGATTTTTGTTGCCATTGTTTTGGTTTGTTTTTATGCATGCATCCAAATCACCTGGAAGACTTGTTAAAACACAGATTACTGGGCCACAGTTTGAGTTTCTGGTTGTATGGAGGTATGCATGGACAATTTGCACTTTTTACAAGTTTCTAGGTGATACTGAAGATTCGGTGTAAAGCCACACTGTAAGAATTATTATTAATACCTTGCCTTAGCAAATCTACTTGTTTCTGGAACAGAGCAACTGATGTATCTTCAAAAAGTGACTCGCCTTGTAAACAAGTGATGCTATTGTGCAACCAGGGTTGAGAACTGCTGTCATAAAGCATCAGCCTGTCCAAACAATTTGTATCTCTTTTCCTCACATTTGCACCTTTGCCTTGCATGTATTGATTATATGAACCCATCTTGGATTACTCTTGAGTCTCTGTCTTATGCTCTTCCCTGCTTGGGACTTCTTGGCTCACCTCTTCCCTGACTTCTTCCCCAACCCCTAAGACACACCTCTTAATACAAAACAAAACAAAACAACACAACAGCAGCACACACACACACAAAGTAGCTTTAAGATATGTCACATACCATACAGTTCACCTATTTAAAATGTATAATTCAGTGGTTTTTAGTATAATAACTGATACAGACAACCATTATCAATGCCTATAATTAGTAAATTTTGGAATATTTTTGTCACCTCAAAAAGAAATTCTGTCCCCTTTAGCTATCACCCCCATCCCTCCATCCCCATCCCTGCCCCCAGCCCTAAGCAATCATTAATGTACTATCTGTCTCTATAGATTTCCCTATTACCTGGATTCCAGATAAAAGCTCATGATGGAGCTGGAGGCCCTCATCCTTAGCAAATTAATGCAGGAGCAGAAAACTAAATAAGCCATGTTCTTACTTTTTTGTGGCTCTGTTTTGCCACTATCTGCACAGATTTCACTTATTTTCTCCTGCTTTCATCATGTCTCACTGACCCTGGCCCATCAGGTCATTGAATGTAGAGGGTACCTCATCTTTCCTGAAGCCTATGAGTTATGACAGAGTCTGGTGATGGTGGACAAGGCTTCAGGGCTGTAGGATGGCCGTGGGTGTTGACATGCCTGTAGCTTTTTACTTTGTTGCACAGCTAACATTGACATTGGATTTGATAGAGAAATGGCTTCTTATGCCACTAATAGAAAACTGGTGATAAATATGTTTTATAGATCTTAGAATTAGAACTATAGAAGAAATTGTTTTCTGAGGAAGGGCATAGCTGCTGTTGAATTTTGAAAGCAAATTTTCCTTGAGTATCAGTTCTACTATGCAGAAATAATATAGCTTATTTGCTAGTACAGTGTTTGATAATAATATAGAAGAAATTGGAAAATTTATTAGATGCCTATAGGCAAAGTGGGAGACTAATTTGAATGATCTCTCTATGAATCTACTTCTAGTTTGTTGCCAAAGACATTTAAAGTAGGATAATTTATTGCCATGGAGGTTGGCAATAACTGGATTGATTTTTAGATTGTTTTAATAACATACTATAACATTTTATAAAAATACAGTATAGCCATCAGTCAGAACATTCATTTGTGCTGTAAATTACATATTCCAATATTTAAAAGATGCATAGTTTTGTATATCAAGAGAGATCCTTTAACATTACATTTTGAAAGTATTTCTCAATATTTGTATTAGTGACATCTAAAGCAACACCATGTCATAGACTGACTCCTAAATGTGTTTAAGGGCCTGCTAATTAATAATTTTATTTAAATCTTTTTACATCTTGTATTTTGTGTGTGTACTTGAGCTGTGTTTGGCTGAGAAAGATAACTTAACTCACCTACTATTATTGCTTTTCTTTCTGTCTTTCCTGGGGTTTTTTGTGGCAATTTTTGCTTTATGATTTTATTTGATTCATACTAAACCTTCATTAAAATTATATCCTTTGACTTAAGTTCTCTAGTCTCATTTTAATTTTATTTTGCTTTCCAATGAACTTTTATAAATGAAATGTTCTTTCTTTTATTTTCATTTTTCTGTTGTATGCTTTTTCCTCTAAACTGTTCAGGGATATTTTACTTTAGAACCATCTCTTTTATATTTTTTATCTTTGAGCCCAGTAATTTCGTAAGTATCTTATTGTGACTAGTTTTGTGTTCATTTTTCATGGGCTATGTTGTCCACTTTTGCCTTGAACATTCAGCTTTTCTCTTATTTAGGTAAGTTTCCTTCTAATACTTATTTGAGGATTTATTTCTGTTTCATTATTGTGATCTCAGAATATCTACAAAAGCTTAAAGTATCTCCCTCTCAAAGCTTCTGTTTTCTCTTAACTCACTTTCAACTTTGATCTTTGCATTACTTTTTTTCTAGCCTTTTCTCCATGTCATCCATGTAATTTTCAAGAGTTCCTTTTGGCCCCTTCCTTGAGGTATTGTTTCAAAGAAGTCATGTATTCTTTTACTGTTATGAACTAATGCCCGAGAGTTTGTTGAACTAATTTGCTTCCTGGCAAAATTTTTCTAATATGTATTTTTCATCAGCTCATTTCTTAGGTTCTGTTCTATTGTCTTTCTCCTTTTGTCTGCATAGGTCCATTGTTAATCATTACTCATCTTTAAATGGGACCAATTCTGTCAATTCTGTGAAAAATAGTGTTGTGGGGCAAGACCAGGCTTTTCAATTAAGATGTGTGTTCTCAGAACACTTCCTGTGTACATTTTGTAAATATGTACCTGCGAAAAATAGAATGGTAGTGACCACT